TAATAATAATAATAATAAATCAAAAAGGCTGACATGGCAGCAAAACTTACATGGGCTCAGGAAAACACGATCACTCAGGCAGGACAAGACAGGCATTACCCAACGACGAACCGACAATGACAGAACTGACAGACAGACTTTATATACACACAAACAGGACATGACACAGGTGACGATAATCAGACAATCAATTCAGACACAAGGGAGAACAGACAGGGGGAAGGCCTACTAGATGGTGCCATCCTTACAGGTGGTGAACAGAAAAAGAAAAAATAATGAGGAATAATCAGTCTTTCTTCAGAAAAACGGTTATACTCCTCTTCTCTCCTGCCAATATCTTCTATTTAAAATTAAATAGGAAGATGTAGTTTTTTAGGTGGTAACTTAAACAGAAAAGTTTCTTTTTCCTGATAAGTTTACTCTTATTTAGTGATTTAGCAATTAAACGTGTATTATCTTTCCAGCAAATGAGTAAACTTTATCAACTCTGTGAATATCTGAACTGTATCTTTTAAAAAGTTTCTAATTTTTATTTTGCACCTCCATCAGAAGAAATTACCAGTGAATAAAAATGTGTTGGTAAATGCCTTTCTGCATAAATACCTTAATTACTTTTTAAATGCAAGATAACAGTGATTATTCAGCTTGAGGAAGTTTGTTAACTCAAAGTTCATCTTACAGAAATAAATACGTTTAATTTCACTCAAAAACCTAAAGATGAAGTGAAACTGTGATATCAAGTTTCCACAGGAGGGGGAAGTGTTTAGCTTTCTACCAGCAGGAGTCTATGACGACGTCCTGTCGACGTTCTGTTGACATCCTGTCGTTAGCCGCTTAGCTTAAAATTAGCTTTGGCTAAACTCGGTTAAAATCAACATTTCTGAACGGATTTAAAGCTTAAACGTGGCGTTGTTTCAACAAGCACGACTTCTTTGCATGAACATGAGTTTTTGGGGACATGTGACAAGTTCATTTAGTGATTTTAAGCACAGCGAAGGCTTCGGTGCAACCAAGCTTTACCATCTGACATGGAGGAAGTGACGTGACACGTCACTCATCCGGTCGTTAGCTGTTAGCTTAAAATTAGCATCGCTAGCGTTGTTCAAAAACATCATTTAATGACGGATTTTAAACTCAAACGTGGCAAAATTTCAGCGATTAGAGCTTCAAAGAAACGGGCAGCGGATCAGAATGCAACTTTAAAGCTTATTTCAGCTTTAAAAACAGATGGAAATTCCCTATGAAAACGAGTTTTCATTTCAGGGTCACGTGACTGAATCTACCAATGACAGAGCAACAACGGGGTGGGCTTTACGACCTGACACGTCAGAGGAAGTGACGCAGCCACGTCACTCACTTCTCAGCGAATCAGAGCGCTCCACAGCAGCTGATTTCAACCAATCACGCATCGTTTTTCCAACTAGCATGTTAGTCTTAGCCTGAAATAATCCGTCAACTTTTCGTCTTTTAAACTGTCAAAATGCACCATTTTCTGTTAAAAATGTAACGAATCAACTCTGAGCTTAACGGAGGCGGCGCTCCGTGGCAAAACGTCTTTTAAACCATTTAAAACAAACTCGTTCGAACTTCTCAGAACCGGACCAAAACCGGGTCTGCAGCAGAAACTCCGTCCTTTTAAACAGAATAAACGTTCTCATCAGCTTAGTTACACATAACAGACGTACAATTCAGCTTTTAAACAGACATATTGACTCTCAATATCAGCTTACAAAGCATCAGTAGCTGCTAACATGCTGTATTTTCTCCAAGCATCCAGCTCAGCACGCTGCGTTTCATCACAGCAAAATCTGCAATTTTTCTTTCATGCCAACATGATATCAATTTTACACGAATACACAGTCCATTTATGAACACGTAACGGGCCACCAGATGTAGTACAACGTACGGACGGGCCACCAGATGTAGTAGAACATATGCATGATATATATTCATACTGTTAAAACGGATTCTTTCATTTTTCTGGACTGTTTAATAACGTGCACCTGAATTTCATAAAATGTGGACGGAAACGTTAATTATCTTTGACTCACCAAGACAGTGGGTCATTTATTAACAGAATCAAGTTTAACACATAACACATTTACATTAATTGGCAAGAATTGAAAATAACGACAGCTTATTAATCAGTTTAGCAAGGAGTAAACAACACGGCGATTGTTTTCTCACTTCCAGCAGAACCACAACGTCATTAATCACAGCAGACGTCAACCACACGGCGGTGATTGAAAAACTTTGCTTCAGACATTTCTAAAAATATCTGGATTAATTTGCTAGCAGATAGGAGAGTTTAAAGATGGAAAGATGAAGTTTATCTACAGAGAGATGTGTGAGGGAATTTGTCTGTTTTAACCAGAACCGACACGCTCCTTCTTTTCCAGCTTGGCCCAACGGTACGCTTAGTTGAGATCGACTCTTTTACCTTTGCAGATGATAGTTTCAGCGTTGGTGTAGAGCTCTCCTTTCAACTCTTTCAGCGTCTCCGTGAGAACAGCTAAAACCTCTGGAGTCGTGAGGTCATCCAGGACAGACTTTCATAATTCCCAAATCGTCTCTGGTTCAGCTTGATTCTCTTTCAGCAGCATCCTGAATTCCAGCCTTCGTGAACTCTGGAACTGCTGAGTTTCAGAGCTGCTACTCCATCTTCAAGACTGAGTTTACAGCAGCTTCAAGACTGAGCCCCTGCAAGACTGAAAGACTGAGCTTGAACTAGGAAGTGCCAACATTTAAAGAAAGCTCACTTCCGGTTCATTTGAGAGTTTCTGATTGGTCAATGGACCAAAACAGAGGTGTGTTTTGTGATGTAAGGTGTTATGAAAATTCAAGGAAAAGATTAAGATTGTTTAAGAACAGACAGAAGATTGTAATGAAGAAACCAGACTTCGTGGAGCCAATTCTCCAGTATCTTGCTGTAAAAGTTAAACATGACATTTCTTTTCAGTAAACTTTCAGTTGACCGAAACTTGAACTTCGACACACTTACAACTTCGCTCATTGAAGACAGAAAATCAGACAATGAATGCATCATTAACCTGATTTCTTCTTTGAATGAGGATTAAAAATCGTTATTACTGTTTCACAGTTGATTTAAATGATTAGTTCACTTCAACATTTAAACATTGTTTGAACTAACACAATTTGATTATCAAACATTTGTAAAATGGTAATGATAATAGAAAGTAGTCTTCTTTTACTTGATTAATTCAAGAAAGAAAGTCTCAGGATGGGTCAACCTGTATTTCTGGATGCAAATCAATGAAATGACAAGTTCTGTCCCAATGGTCCTTAGGTCAAGGTTTTGACCTTCAGGCCTAGTTCACTACAATAGGCAAGCTTAAAGCATCAGAAGTCTAGCTTAAAGCATCACAAGTCCAGATTAAAGCATCAACAGGCTAGCTAAAAGCATCAAAAGTCTAGTTAAAAGCATCAAAAGTCTAGCTAAAAGCATCAAAAGGCTAGCTTAAAGCATGAAAAGGCTAGCTAAAAGCATCAAAAGTCAAGCTAAAAGCATCCAAAGGCTAGCTTAAAGCATCAGAAGTCTAGCTAAAAGCATCAAAAGTCTAGCTAAAAGCATCAAAAGTCAAGCTAAAAGCATCAAAAGGCTAGCTTAAAGCATCAAAAGTCTAGCTAAAAGCATCAAAAGGCTAGCTTAAAGCATCAAAAGTCTAGCTAAAAGCATCAAAAGTCTTGCTTA